TTGAAGTCTAAAATAATAAATTTATTATATAAATTATATAATTAATTATTTCAGCTTAAAGCTAACTCATGCACAACATTTAATCTTAGATTAACTGTTTTAAAATCATATTCTGTATAATCTATAATATCAAATTTATTAATTTGTAGAGTTCGCCTGAACATATTCATTATTGCCTGAAGCTTTAAAGTCTAGATCAGCTGATTTTATATAATGTGATAATTCAGTTATATATGATCAGCAAAATAATCGACATGTGATATAAGCATGTCTGCTATGCTATATATATGATACTGAACATGAAATTAGAAATCATCTTAATCTTATGCAAAATTTAGATGCAACAATTCTAAAAAACTTACAAAATATGCTTAACATAATCAATCCCTATATTCATATTTTTCGACAAGCACAAGATATTTTTCAGACATCTGAAACTTCTAATATATCAATGCTAATTCATAATAATTGTATACAAAATTTACATAGTTATAGCGTATCTACATCATCTGAAGTTACAGCACTTATGATAGGAGATGGATATGACATTGAACTATTAAATCGTGATATTTTGCTTAGAACTTATAAAGGAGGTTTATAAAGAATATCTGAACTGCATCCCTCTTATGATGCCTTGCATTATGTATTATTATTTCCAAAAGGTGATGATGGTTAGTATACTGATATTCCTCTTACAGAACCTGGAGCAAGAAAAAGAATAACACAAATGCAATTTTATTCTTACAGATTACAAATTAGGAATGATGACTGGATACAAAATGCTGACCAATTATATCAGCAATATATTGTTGATCAATATGCTAAAATTGAGCAAAATCGTTTAAATTACTTAAGACAAAATCATTCAGAACTTAGAACTGAATTTTATCAAGAAGCTATAGATGCAATACATGCAAGAGATAATACTAATAATATTGGACGTCGTATAATTCTTCCATCAACTTTTTCTGGTAGACCACGATATATGTATCAATTATATCAAGATGCAATGGCAATTGTACGTCATTTTGGTAAGCCTGATCTTTTTATTACCTTCACATGTAATCAAAAATGGCCAGAAATTATACAAGAATTATTACCAGATCAAATTGCTGCTAATAGGCCTGATTTAACTACTCGAGTTTTTCATATGAAATTACAAGAAATGATGAAAGATCTGT